AAAGTGAGACCCAGGTCATTTCCTGTCCCAACACCCACCAGTTTATCCCTGAGAAGCCCTTAGTGCCATGTCCAGTGTTTCACATGTTTCCTATCTTGCTGGTGCTCTGTTTGCTCCCCCAGCCCACCTCACCCCCAGCCCACCTCACCCCTAGCCCATGTTCCCACTGTGAGGCTTCTCCATCAGGCCCAGCAGGTGCAGTGCCCGGGCTGGGCCCTCAGCACTTTTAGAGGCCCACGAAAATGTTTTAATTTCCTTAAAATCAGAAGACGATATGGGAGCGTTTAGGCCAAAGAAAACGTTTTAATATTTAATATTAAAGCATGCATCTTTTTCCTAACACAGTAAAAAGTACCCGATCGTCCACTCTCTTACGTTCTCTCACCGTTCCTGTGCCTCTCACAGCACCGGGCACACAGCAGGTGCTTAATAAACACCTGCTGGGGACGCACGAACGAGTCTGTGCTGCCCATTTCTGTCTTCGGAGAACACAGCCTCACACTTGCAGGCAGCTATGATTTGACTCGCCGGGGGCAGGGGGGGAGCCCTGGTTGCGAGAAACGATACTGAAGCAGCATCTTCCAAGTCACCTGGGAAATGACACAGTGCACTCGCCACCCTAGGTCTGCGGAGGGCAGCCCGGCCCCAGCCACCTTCTCAGTGCATTCCTCAGTGTGGCTCCAGAGGCAGAGACTAGAAATCTGTGTCTCTATGGTGCTTCTCATATTACACCTTCAGAGCAACATGCTGATGGCTAAAGAGAAGTGCCAGCTTTCTCAGTAAAGTAGGTAAAATTTAAGATGCAAATGTACACATTTTCCCCTGCGGGACTCCATAGCCTTTTTTTTTTTTTTGCTTTGAATAAAAAACATGTGACTTGAAAACCGTTTTGTCTTAAATTGGCCCTTATGGGGTTTGGGGGGGGTGGAAATGGTGTTCCTGAAACAGAACAGGAGCAGCGGTTTTCAGCCCCGGATGGGACATCTGGCAATGCCTTCTGGGGACGTTTTGGATTGACCTAGCCAGTTGGGGGGCATGCTGCCGGCATCCAGCGGGTAGAGACCAGGGATGTTGCTTAACCTCCTCCAGAACAGTTTCCAATAACAAAGAATGACGGGGGCCCACTTGTCAAAGTGCTGAGGTTGAGAACCCCTGCTTTGGAAGAATCTAAATTCCATGTCTTGGGTAAATGACTTGGATCACTTAGGTCTGGCCTTTTCCATAGGCCTGATCTCATTGATCTGCACTTTGGCATCGAGCCCTGGATTTACATTGAGCAAAGGCAGCCTGATGGGGTTTCTGTGGCCCTGTTAGGAGACTGTGGTCGAGGACATTGTCTGAGACCCCACCCCTGGCTCCTTCAAAGATCTCACAAGAATCCCTCCCAGACCTCAGAACGTGCACAGTTGCTTCTGGGATCCTTTTAACCTTGTGGACTTCATGAGTTTCCTAACAGGTGGATTTCCCTTTTCACTTCAACTAACGGGAAGCTCAGAGCCCAAGTTGCAGCCCATCTTTGAGAACTGCGGAGGCCCACTCGGAGAACGTTTCTGCTGTGCCACCCTCTTGGTTCATTGTACTGTGTGTTCCAGCCCTGTTTTTGCTTTGATCTATTTTTATCCTATTGTAGTTTACTTTGTGTGTGTGTGTGTGTGTGTGTGTTAAGCTGCCTCCAATCCTTTGGCAACGAAGCAGGCCATAAAAACAAAACAAGATTCAGCAGAGCCCCGTGGCCTCGGCGGGTATTTTTTAACATGCCAAGTGTCATTTCAAGGCTAGAGTCCTGCCGGGGGAAGGCAGCTACCCTTGGCTCCTCCTGTCCCCTCCTGGGAGTCTCCCTTCTTGGAGAACAGCAGTTCCGTGGATTGCAGCAACAGGTTTCAGAGGCAAAGCCACCGACACCCATCTGCCTGCAAATACCTCTCCCTCCCCCAAACATTCTTTCCAGTCTCCCATCTGGCTCCTGCCAAGGGGCTAGACAAGCTCTCCCTTTGCTATTCCTAAGTTGCCTTGCCCACATTTTCAGTCGGAGCATCCAGGGTTACGCTGTGTAGACTGTCACGCAGCCAGGGCGGTGTTGGGGGCGGGGTGGGGTGGGGACCTGTATGCAGAGGCGGGGACCTTTGGAAGGCTGTTGTGCGAGGGCGGGGGTGAGCCAGGGGTGGGTAGGGGGAGCTACATACACCTGGAAAGGTCAACCCCGCCCCTCACCCGTCAGCCCAACTAACACTCCCAGCTCAAGCAAGCACCCGTGCCCCCCACGTCCCACAGGCAGGGCTTGCCCCTTGTCCGCCAGGCCGGAGCCAGAGCCAGTCCAGTCCGCCTGTCTCCTCTGCTCTGTTCTGCTCACGTGACCCGGCCAGGGCTTCCTTCCCCCAGCCTCTGTCTGCCCATCTGTAAAATGGGGGACCGGGAGAGGTGGACCGGATCCTAAAACTTGGAGATGCTAAGAACCCCTCCTTCATGTGTCCTGACCCCCTCTATTCCTTTTGTCCACTTTCTTCTGGGAACGTGGTGAAGCGGGAGAACGGCTTGTGTGTGTGACAGAACGGAGTCGGAGGTGAGCCCTTTGCGGGACCAGCCTGGACACCAGCAGGAACACGGGCCCGAGGCTGCAGGCTTGTGAGGCAAGCAAGGGGCCTACCCGGCAGGGACAGAGGCCAGCCCTGAGTGACCCCGAGAAGGGCCTTCGCACGCCCTTTGGATGGCGTGAATCAGCAGCCGCCAGCCCCTCGCCTGGCAGTGAGCAGTACCCCCTTCCCCTTGGGCGCACAGCCCAGGTGAGCTGGGAACACCCCACCCAACTTGGCCTGTCTCTGCACTGGCCTGCTCAGTCGGGTCACTGGCCCTGCTGGCCACTGCCGGTCCCGAAGTATAAAACATCAGGTTGGGACAGTGGTGGAGAGGAAGGCCTTGGAGGCCGTGCCCGGGTCCGTGCCCCAGCTCCTCCATTTGCCAGCTGTGTGTGGCTGGGTAGGTTCCTTAGCCTTCCGTTGCCGCAGCGTCCTCATCCGTAGAATGGGGGTAATATGAATAGCGAGGGCCTCACAGAGTTGTCATGACGATAAATGAGGCCAGCACCAAGGGCAGTGCCTGGCAGATGGCGGTCCTAAGGGCTGGCACCCAGCCTTCACCACAGTAATGGTGCAGAACAGCATGTGCCCGGGGAAGCATGAGCAGAGCCCTGGCCTGCAGCGGTGGTCGCGGACGGGACACGAAGGCTGGACCGGGGTGGGCTGGTGCCGATGCGCATCTTTAGGCTAGAACCACAGCCCTGCCCGGAGCAGCAAGCTCTGCAGCACATTTTTGTTAAGTGTTGGCCGTGACCTGAATTAGCATGACTACATTACTGCCCAGATGCAGCCCCTGGCTCCTGCTTTGGGTTGCTGGAGGTAGAAGGGGCCCTACAGGGCATCTGTTAAGGCGAGATGTGCCCTGCAGGGGCCGTGGGCTTCTCAGGCGAGCCTCAGGGACCAAAGGGGAGAGAGTCCTCTCCCCTCCCTCTTTTGGGGCCACCACACCCTGCTTCTCACTCCCAGCCTCAGCCACATCCCTCATTAGCTGAGAATGAGCCCCTCTAGGGACAGAGGGGCCGGTGCAACATTTTTATTATGCTTCTAATTGCTTCCCAGGGAGGATGAGCTCAAGTCCAAATTTCTCTGCGGATGCTCGAGGAGAGGGGCAGGGTTTCCAGGAACTCGGCACCACTGGCCCCCATGTGGAAAGGAGGATGTGTGAGGGACTTCAGCTAGCAAACCCTGCCTTGCCTGGGCTGACAGGGCGGACGGGTCTCCAGGTCCCCAACCAGGACAGACACACCCTCAACCTCACTTCCTGAAGGAACGAAGCTCCCAGGAGGCCGTGAGCAGCCAGGTGAAAGGGCTTTCAGTCCATGTTGTCCTGAGTCTACTGCTTAGTGACTTGGGGAAGGTGGCCAGGTGGCGTCTGGACCCGTTTCTTATGGGCTCTCAGGCCGTGAGTCTGGACGAAGGGCACGCTGCCTTTAACATTCTCCGGGTCAGATGGGGAAAAGCCGGGAAACAAAGGAAGGCGGCTCCTTTCTAGGGACTGTGTCTGCACCAGGCCCGGTAAGAGCAGCAGGGTTCCCGTATCACAGAGGAGCAGGAGGAGGCACGGAGCAGCTAAGTGACTTAGTGGCCAGAGGCCCCCAACTGGTAAGCGGCGGGTGGGCCACCAAAATCCCAGAGCCCCCAAGACCTGCCCAGCAGATGGGCACGTGAGCCTCGTCCCTCCAGGGGCCGGAGAGCAGCGCAGGAGGGGAGGGGCCCCAAAAGGACAGGGAGAGAAGCCACCCCAGATCCCGAGTGCCTTAGGGGCACAGGCAGCCCCAGGGCCCCCAGTCGGCACCCGTACCCACCCACATCCTGCGATAACCCTCCCCAGAAGCAGAGACGGACAACGGGAGTGCCACAGCACTTTTTTTTTTTTTTTTTAATGTTTCCTCACTGTTTTAACAATACCATGAAAAAATATATACAGTTTAGAATCTGGAACTGACCACTGTTCGCATGGGTTTCAAGGGCAGCTGGTGGGGGCTGTAGGGCCCCTTCTGACTCCTCCCCTATGTGGGAGCCACACTACTGGAAACGGTACTGACAGGGCGCCGGAATCAGGAACTAAGTGGATCAGGATCTGGCAACAAGCGGGAGAGGCTGCAGCGCTGACGCCCGCAAACCCTGGCCTGTCCCCTCCCTCCGCCGCGTACGAGGGGACAGGAGAAGGTGGGTCAGCTTGTTCCCAGGACAGGAAAATAATCATCAGTTAACCCTGGCGCACATGCCCAAGCTCCCACTCGACCTCCTTGGGCAGGGTGACAGGACCAAAGTGAAACGTGGGAATCTCAGAACAACAACAAATAGTTTTTTTAGCGTAAGTATGTTCCAAACATGGTGTGGGGCATACTTATACTACAAAAATGATCCTTTGTATGCCCGACATCCTAATTTATCTCCGCGTTCTGGTTTTGTTTTGTTTTATTGCTAAATCTGGCAACCCTCTACCCTTAGGGGCCTCAGAAGTGGGCTGGCAGAAAGGCCTAAAGAAGGAAGGGGAAGTGGTCAGTGTGTGTGTGTGTGTGGGTGGGTGGGGGGGTGGGGCTGGGGGGGGGGGGAGTAACTCAGTCAAAAAAGCTTCTAGCCCTCCAAGAAATGATATATTAATTTTTTAAAAAATCCTTTTCCAGAAAATTTCTACACTGGCTGCCTTCAACTGTTAATAGCCATGGGGTGGGGGGCGGGCGGGGAAGGACACACACGCACGGACACCCACCCCATACAGTTCTAAATAAAGTCTGGAAGCACTTAGTATAAAGGTTTTCTAAAAGGATTTGATCTTCCATCTGGTAGCAGAGCTGTTAACACTGTTCCAGATATGCTCTGGAAGGATTTAAACAGGACAGGAGAACAAACAGATCGATAGGGGCCGAGCGAGTGCCCAGCCTGTTCCTAGTGTCATCCTGGAAAGGCCCCTTTTAGAAAATTCAGGAAGCCTGGGGCCTCCTTTCTTTCGTTCCCCATCCTGTTCTCCCCCCTGGAAGGGGCCGCGTTTAGTGCACACATTCGGTCCGGCTTTGCTCCAAGGGGCTCCAGGCTCACGGTGCAGGAGCCGGGAGCGGGGGGGCCGGGGCGTGGGACCACCTTTCCTCCTGCCACACGGCCACCAGTCACAGCAGAAACGCCAGGAGAGGAAAGGCGAGCCGAGCGTCCTTGGCCGAGGCACCGGGGCCGCTCCCGGACTGACCCGCCGCTGCTGCCCCACGAGGCGGGGACTTGGCTGACATGCGTCACCGTCTGAGGCCGGGCTGGAGGGAAGGGAGAACCGGTTCCTGCCGCAAGCACCCGGTCCGGCCTGCAGCACACGGGAGGGCTGGGTGCGCCAGGCAGCTGGGTGCCCACGCCACCTCCCTGTGTCCCCATTGGGGCCCCGGCCTCACCGGCGCCCCACGTCCAGGACGGGGGACGTCCAGGGTCTGCGGTGGAAGCCAGGCTCCTGGCTGCCTTGCACAGGATGGGACGGGGACAGGGAAGGGAAGGGGGTGGTGGCCTGGAGGGGGGGAGGGGTCAGGGAGGAGACGGAGCCCCCCTCCCGCCTGGTGCCCCTCACACCCGGATCTCATCCTCCTCCTCCTCGTCCATGAAGGAGAACTCCTTGTCCTGCGGCCGGGGCAGCGCGGCCCGGGCCCTGTCGGGCCCCCGCGAGGCGGGGCTGCGCTCCTCCAGGATGCCCGAGGTGCAGCTGGACAGGGAGCTGCTGTCCCGCGTGGTGTGGCTGCCCTCGCTGTGGGCCGAGCCGGGGCTGGGGGCCGCCGCCCAGCCCTCGTCCTGGGGCGGGTCCCGGCCCGACGCGCCTTCTTGCTGCCTTGCCCGCGGAGGGGCCGCCGATGCCAGGGCCGGGGGAGCCCGGAGGGTGCTGCCTGCGGGGTCCCCGTCACGGTAACCGCCGCCCTCCTCCTCGGGGTCCCACTCCTCCTTGTCCATGATGCTGAGGACGTCACCCAGCATGGAGGGGCCCAGGTCAATGTGGAACGACATGACCGACTCGGCGTGCTTGAGCCCCAGGCTGGCCTTGGGCACCACGGGCAGCTCCGTCAGGTCCCCGAAGGCCTGCTCGTCGAGGAGGGGGTCGGGGGAGTGGAGCGCGGTGGCCCCGTTCCGCCGGGGCGCCAGCTCCCCCTCGCCCGCCTCCTCCTGGCCGCCCTCCCCGACACTCGCCTTCTTCACGGGGCTGGACGACAGGCTCTTGGGCAGCTTGCCGGAGCCCTTCTCGGCGGCCTCCTTCTCGTTCAGTTGCGGCAGGGACATGGCGTTCTTGACGAACAGAGCCGAGTCCCGCAGGGAGCCCAGCATGTCCCTCTGCTCCCGGTCCCCCCTGGTCACCGACTGCGACCGCTTGCTGCCCCGGAACTTCCGGGACAGGAGGCCGCGTTTGGAGGACGAGGAGGCGGCCTGCTCCTCCAGGGACTCGCCGTCCAGCTCGCCGGCCTTGCTGTTGAGGAAGGACGTGTCCCCGAAGGCGTCCCCCGCCCGGCCCACGTGCATGGTGTGCCGGAAGTCGCCCAAGGGGGCGCTGATCATCTCGGCCGTGAGGTCCACGCGGGAGCGGCGCTTGGAGTGCACCGAGCTCGACACCAGCTGCTTGAGGATGGGCATCTTGCCGGTGGGGGAGGGAGGCGGGGGGCGGGGGGCGGGCCTCCCAAGGCGGCAGGCGGGTCGGGGGTCAGATGTGAAGTCCGGCGGGCATAGGGGGTGCCAAGGAGGAGATCATAGGGCTGCAAGAAGAGAACAGCAGGCAAAGGGTTAACCCGGGCTGGCCGCAGGGCAGCAAGCCCACCTACAGAGGGGCTGCTGCCCAAACCTCAGCTCTCCCACCAGAATGAAATACTGTGAAAGAAGCCACCGGTGGCCCAAGCCTGCCTGATTCTTCACGCGCAGGCACTCAGGTTAGGTAGCCATGTAGAGTTCAGGTAGCCACAGACACATTTTCCCCGAACCAGAGAGAAGGACGATCCTTCTTCCGAAGGACAGCATCTCCCCCGACCAGGATGCCACCAGCGTGAACACAACCACGCTTAGGGCGGTGGAGATGCACAGGCGGTTCCGTGTGGCAGTCTGGGAAAGAGCCTGGGTCCAGGACAGGACTCCCGCGGACAGCCGGGCTGGAGACACGCTCTAGGTTCTTCCTGCTGTCTGACCTCAATCCCCGTGGAGGCAGTGGACACCTCAACCTGAGTCATGGTCCTCTGACGAGGGAGAGAACAGGATGGGCTCCGGAGAGACGCTGCCCGGCACCTCCACGTATGTGGGCGGCCAGACTTGCTTTCTGAATCAGAACTGGGGCGGGGCCGCTGGGACCCACAAAACCAGCTCTCCAGCCTTCCAGTCCTTACTGGGTGTCCCGCAAACGAGGACCCTGCCTGCGACCTCTCCACCGTGGGGCCAAGCTCTTTGCTGGACACTCACCCTGTGTCTCCTAGGGATGAAGACTAGAAAATTCTGGTCTCTTGAATCATTAAGGGTGCAGGAGGAGGGCAGGGACTAGACGGCCCGGGCCCCCGAGATCTGCCGACCCCGGGGGGACAGTTAACCGGAACTGAGGATCAGCGAGGGGGGCCCCGGAGAGCCTGGGGCATCTGAAAGCTCCAGGTATCACCCATATAGCTCCTGGCAAGCACCAAGTTGAGGTCGACCGTTGGAGACAAACCAGTCCTTTTCCCCCTGGAGGGACCTGCCCCAAAGGCTAAACCCAGCAATGCAGGGCTGAGCAGGGCAGGAAGACGGACGGGATCCGACAAGGCGGGTGGGTAAGGGGTGATGGTGGCCGTAGTCTTGCCAACAAGACTTCATGGCGGGACCACTCTTCCCACTGCGAAGTGCGACCCGTGGGTGTCCCGCCGGTTTCTTCCTCACCCCCAGCTAGGCCGCCACATCCCACCTGGCCCCCGACGCCAGCCCAGCAGATCCCCGTTTCCCCTTCTGTCCCTCTCCAGACCATTCTTCACCTTTTCTCTAAAACAAAAGCCATCCAGGACTCACCGGTGCAGACCCCTCGATCTGGCGACCCGTCCTTGCCTCCCTCCTTCCTCCACGCCACTGCTTGCCGCTCCCCTACCTTTGCTCTCGGTCCTAGCCCTCTCTCAGCTTCTGCCTCCTGGACTCCAGGACTGGACACATGCAGGTCCCTGCTGGCACACCCTGTCACCTGGCTCACTCAACGTCCTTCCGGGCTCGGCTGAGACGTCGCTTCTTCCGGGAAACCGTCCTTAGCCGGGGTGAACCCTCTCGGCCACCTCGCCTCCGGCCTCCCGGCACTCTGGATGTCCCCTCTCCCGGCAGGCACCGGCTACGTCGTTCTATTCCTGCCAGCTGGGTTGTAATGTGCCCACTGGACCCTGAGCTTCCAGAGGGTTCGGACGGGGCCGACTCACCACTGAATCCCATCTAGCAATGGGTCTTCAAAGACCTGTTGAAAGGCAACACCTCCGTCCTGCCTTCCCCCATCTCCCTTTCTGCTTCCCAGTCCAGGGGCCGCGCTGGCTTCCCTCAACCTCTAGCCGGCTCCAGGGTTCCCGGCCGGCCTGACCCCTGTGTCCTCCAAACACCCCCCACAGCATTCTCAGTCTTTGTCCAGCTGCTGACGCCCAGTCTGACGGCTCCCCAGCCATCCAGTGCCACCCCCCAAACCCCGCCCCAGGCAGCCATGCGACTGTCACTCCAGCAAACAAAGTTCTCTAGGACGGGAGGCAGGAGCCAGGCACCGGGGCGCAGGTGACCTGGGCTGGGCTCAGAGCCAGGTGAGGACTCTCACTACCGCCAGTCAGCTCTCCCTCCTCCTGCCCCTTCTTCCCACCAACCCTCAGGCGAGTTAGCTCTCCCCATCCCTAACCTGAACCCTCTTCTCCTGCCCACGCCCTGGGACCTAACCTCTAAACAATCAGACATGGAACAGCTAGACCAAGGATTGGCCAGCATTTTCTATAAAGGACCACAGACTAAAGATCTCTGGCTTTGGGGAAGATACTGTCTTTCCAGTAGGAGAGCAGCAACATACTGCATGGAAACAAAGGGTATGGCTGCGTCCCAATAAAACTTTATATATAAAGACAAGTTGTGGGCCAGATTTGGCCCATGGGCCCCGGCTTTCTGACTCCAACTACATGAGAAGTACTGGCCTCAGGGTTATCCCCTCGCCACACTGCCCAGGAGAGGGTCAGCATATGTGACCTTCTGGGTCTGCCATGGGCTCCCAGGCAAACCTTTGGGGGAAAAGCTCTCTTTGGCTAAAAAAGAGAAAGGGAGGCTGGGGTTGGTCTCAGACGTGTTAGGAACGGAAGGAAATCAAACCAGGTTTCTAATGAACAGTTGGTACCAGAGAATCCCTGAGCTTCTGCTGCCCCCAGGACACTGACGCAACAATGGGAAAGGCTCACGTGTTCAAACGGCCTGCATTCGAACTCCTGCCTCTAGTCACAGAATCTTGGGATCTCAAAGAGCTGGGAGGGAAGGGACACCCAGAGCAGCTCCAGAAAACAGGTGTCACTGAAGCAAAGTCACTCATCCAGGTTTCTGCCCCAAACGGCAGAGCTGGGCGAGAAGCTGGCCTCCTGGTCCAGTGCTCTGCTCCAGACCTTTCTCTGGCCTTTGGTGGGTAGCATCCTTTACCAGCTACCTTTACCAATTGGACACCTCTCCTTGCGTCTGGGCCAGGAGAGTCCAGAAAAAGGAGGAGCCTAGCTGCTTCCTCAAGAGAGTTCCTGATCGATCCGAGAGTGTCGACACTTTGAACCAGATAATTCTTTGTGGTGGGGGCCATCCTGCACATGGTAGGATGTTTCACAGCACCCTTGCCTCTACCCACTAAATCCCAGCAGCATCCCTCCCCAGGGGGGACAACCAAAATGTCTCCGGACATACCAAGTGTCCCCTGGGGGGGGTGCAAAATTGCCCCAGGTTGAGAACACAGCTAGGAAACTAAAGCTTATGCTACTTACCAGATAAACAACAACAACAACAACAAAAGGGGGGGGTGGGTGGGAGACAGGAAAGGGGGCACAAAGGGTCAGAACTGTGGGAACACAAGGCATCCACTTCCAGAGTCCAGGGTTTCATTGCAACAGTAGGAATCCCCAGACCCGGTAGGCAACTTGAAGCGCTGTGGTTTCCCGATGGGAAGTGCTCCTGACAGAGAAAAGGGAACCACACACTCAACCGCCAAGGGCTCAGCAGAACCCATGGAGTGGCTTGTGGCCACTCACAGGGACCTGACATTCTGGCCACCAAGACTACAGGACAGGAGGGTCCCATCATGCCATCAGCCCCCCTTCTATCCTGGAGGGTAAAACAAAGGAACAGGTAAGAGCGGCCAGGGGGGAAACCCACCGGCCAGGCCCGGGGCCCCAGCATCCTGCTGGGCCCTACACCCCCAGAAAGAAAGTAAAAGTCTGGCCGGTGCCATGTGCTACTTATAGCCTCGCTCCCTGGGGGTGGGAATGAGGCTTTCCGGCTTATAAAACCCCAAACCATCCCTCCAGCACCCAGCATGAAAGAGTCTGGAGAGAGCTGGGGTCTCTGTGGAGTCACCTGCCATCCCACTGCCTAGCAGTCCTGGGACGGGGCCAAGGTCTGGGTCTCTGGGATCCTAGAGCTCAGACTCGATGGGCCAGGCTTCAGGGCTGGTGAGGACCCTAAGCTCTGAACAGAGAGCGATGCGGGGGTGAGGAGATGGAACACTGAGGTTACGGGCAAGCAGGTGGCCTGGGCCAGTCCTGGGGGCGGCAGGTCAGGAGGCCTGCGCTCCCACCCGGAAGGGGATCCTGCCAAAGAGAGCTGTGCCTTTGGCAGGGGGTGTTGCTAAGCGCCATGACTCAGCTCTGGGGATGTGGCTAAATAGGCTGCCTGATGACAGGGCGGCCACTCCCCACAGCCTGCCTGCCCGGGGCGGGGCACCACCACCCTGCCCCGAAGCCATAATTCCACTCTCCTGCCAGAGCAAAGGAAAAGGGAGCAGGGACTCACGGCTGTCCCTCACTCTCCCCAGCCTCTGATGGATCCAGATGCCTCTACCCTTTGGCCCCACCATCCCCAGAACATTCCTTCAAGGCGGGAGCAACGGACCCTCCCTGGAAGGCCAGGCCCCTGGCTGGTCTACACCAATCACGCTCCCAGCTCAGCTCTGCTTCTGGGACCCCGGAGGACAGCGCCTGCCTGGACCCCTCACCCATCCTTCCCGGCATGCTGCACACAGAGCACTGGCCTCCCAGATCAGCCAGTCAAGCAGCAACCAGACAGACAGAAGGACAGGCTGGACCGGTGCGCTCCAAACACCCAAGCAGTGGCTGGCTCCTGGCAGCCGGGCCAAGGCAGGCGAGAGACCCAAGTTCTCCTGGGGCGGCAAGGCCGGCCTCCCACTCTCGCAGCTGACCCGCAGCTCACCCTGCTTCACGGCACGCATGCTTCTACGCCCACCGTACTGCCATTGCCACCGGAGGCGCCTCTCCATCAACTCCCCTGAGTTGTTCTAACGCCCATCCGGGGCCAGCCCCAAGCAGCACGGTGGAAAGCAAGGGGATGTTTGGTGAAAGACAACCTCAGTCACGGCTTGGGATGGCGACAGGAGGCCGTGTTCATTTCATTCATTCATTCATTCATTCATTCATTCATATCCACCCATTTTCCCATACCTGTCTAGGCTCCGAAGACAGGACAGTGGAAATCTCAAGGTGGATAAGGCCCCGCCTTCCCGGGGGGCAAGTCTGTAGTGAATATGGGTGGGTGGGGAACAGCGCTGCATACACGCAAGTAAGACAGTCAGTCTCTCAAGTGCTTGGCGTCAAGAAAGGGGAGCAAGTGTGGGTGTCACGGGCCTGGGGGAGGCCCCTCTGAGGAAGGGGCTCTGTGAGCTGAGAACTGAATGGTGGAAAGGACCCAGGCAGGTCAAGAGCAATCCAGGGAGGGAACAGCACGAGCACATCCCCAGGGGAGGGAAGAAGCTTGCGGAGCTTGAGGAACAGAACGGAAACCCAGGGGCCAAGGGCCAGGTCACACAGCCCCAGCCCCCTGAGGACCAGGTAGGAGTCTGGATGGCATTCTTGGTAGGAAAGGAAACAGATGGCAGTTCCCAAGCAGCACACGGTTGGTGCACAAGACGGCCGGCGCTGCAGAGCCCAGGGCAGAGGATGGGGGCCAGGAGACGGATGCGGCTACGGAGACAGACGGAGGAGGGCACATGTGGGGCAGGGTTTGGAGTCAGTGACACCAGGAGTCGCTGAGGGCCCAGATGGGGGAAGAGAGGAAGGGCAGAATCAAAGACTCCAGGCCCCGGCCAAGCCCCAGAGGCCCGTTCCCCCCCAGCAGGTCTCACCTGCTGGGCTGCAGACCTTTCTCCCAGGGTGCAGCCAACACTCCACCACTAGGAAGAACTTAACTTTGCCCGAACAGGGGAGGCCTTCTGCCACACAGCCCCTGCCAGCCGGAGCGACACATGGAAGGGCCTTGTGCAAGTTCCACGTAACACGGGCCACTCCTCTCCCTCCCTGAGAGGCTAGAGGCTCTGGCTTTTGAGGCCAGAGAGAGACTCGGTGCCTTCTGGAACATTCGGCAGACTTCTCCTGCAAAGATAAGGAATCCCAGCGAAGGCACAAGACGGTTTAACTCCCAACGGTGGGACGGGGCTGACGGGCTGCTCGGTGAAATGAACAGAACCGTGGACGCTTTGATCCACATTCTTACATAATGCAGGAGGAACCGCGGTGGGGGCGATGTTGTTATTTTAGCCGACTTTAGTACTATCTGGAATCTTTTACCTCCCTCACGCGCACTACGAAAAGCCCTCCCACCAGGGAGCTTAGCAGGGGGCAAGGGAGCCCCGGGCCGGGTCATCCCAGGGCACCCCTCATTCTTCAGGCCTTTTGCTCCCACCCAGGGCTGCACTGACGGGGACAGGCAGTC